TTGCTACATGGATCATTTTAGTTCAGCTGGGTGTCTTTCCTTTTGTTATATTTCTTTAAGAGTTTAAAATGTGTTAATTACATAAATAAAATGTAATTTTCTCTGTAGCACTTCATGGATTTCATAAGCAACACACCTTAGTTGTTCACACAAAGCATAAAAGTAAAAAACAATATATACAGTGTTATCTTTATTTTAGATGTCAAAAAGTATTTGCAGCTCCCAGTGTTTTCTTTTGCGTGGAAACCGGGTCCAAATGGCTCTTTGGGTGTTAAAGGTTGCTGACCCCTGCCCTAGCCCCATACCCTAACCATAACCATTAAAAATGAATGCCTAACCCTAACCCTTACCCTAAACCTAACCATAACCTAATCGTAACCATCAAACTTGTGAGGACTGGTGAGTGTGTCCTCACAAGTGACTGTTGGTTCTCACAAGTATAGTAGAATGCAGATTTCGGTCCTCACAAAGATAGCTAGACAGGAACAGACACACACACTCCTCAACAAGATCTTTTACAAATCGGTTAAAGAGTAAAGACTAGCTGCCATCAAAAAATAAAACACTACTACACTTCACATTATATCACAAATAGAGAATCTATATTAAAACAAAAACAATCTCAATCAGCTAACCTAAAAAAAGATGTCCAACTAGTTTCAAATGATTAATACTGAGTTAAACATCTTTGTAAAACAAGCTTAAAAAGCTGACTAAAACTATCATTTACCGTAATCCAATTATATACTGCACACTGCTCTTATTCATGTGTCCACCATCTCCAAGAAGCAAAAGCAGCTGTACTGAGATTAAAAGTTACAGTTTCCCTTTATAATTCTGAATTCTTTTTTTTTTTTTGCTTCCTCCTCATTCGTGGTGAAGTGTTAAGTGATGATTCACAGACTCCCTGTCCTCCCACTCTCTTTTCACAAGCCTTTACCATTGCTGACTGGGTGCTGTGACATGGACCATAAAGAATGATTATTATGTTATCATTACTCATAGCCAAATAAACGACTGGTCCTCAGCCATGAGCAAACAATGCACCTTAAATGGGTTTGCTGCATCTGCATACTAGGAACACAACGTGCATGGTCATACATTTTTTGTGCTTATTATGTCTCTAAGGGGAATAACAACTAAGTAGGTCAAAGTTATTTATTGTGAAGTCATTTATTGTTGAAATGTACTGCTTCTCGTGGATGGCATAATTGCACTTGGCATAAGCACAAGCTGAACAAACAAACAAAAACAAACAAAAACAAAAACAAATGACAGCTTCAGATGAAAACGGCTATATTCAATTCCTGTTTGGTATAAGGATAAAACACAGCCACCCACACAAGTGATGCTCACAGATGAAGAGTGGCTACATGAAGACTAAATGCTGCTACAGTTAGATACATGCTATGAAAACGAGGCCTAGAAAAGCACATTTTATGCCTTGTTAAGAGTATTAATGCAGATATTTAGGAATCTATGTGTGACCATGTTCTGCACCGTACCAGATGCTAAGCAGGCTATGCAGTGGTGCTGAATGATGGTTAAGGGAATGCACGGCAAATGGTGCTATGAAGACACCAAATTTTCCATTGGCTCTGGCTGCTCAGAATTTCTTCTCCACTGACCTCCCTCACCATGTGTGCCACAACTGCATTACATTAACGTTTGCCTTCACTCTCCTATAGTTTGTTTTGTCCTTGTCTCTCTATGCTCTCGTTTTTTCTTTTCACTTTGCCTTTACCCTCCAACTGGTCGCAGCAGATGGCTGCCCCTCCCCGAACTTCGTTCTGCGGGAGGTTTCTTCATGTTAGAAAGGGGTTCATCCTTCCTCCTGTCAACAAGTGCTTGCTCAAAGGGGATTGTCTTTACTTTAGAACAACATGTGTGCTGAGGACAGTTGTCTTGCTTCTCTCTGTTAATGCTTTTTGCAGATGTGGTCTATTTTCTTTTAGAATTTGCTGGTAAAATTCAACATGCTTTAGTCCATGAATGGTGATAAATCTTTGTGGCTAAACAAAACCCTTTTCATTTAAACCAGCAAGTTTTATTTTGGTCTCATCAATCGGTTTTACTTTCTTTAGGAAACTGCAGATGGGCAGCACTTTTCATTTTTGGAGGACTGTGGCTTTGTCATTGTGCTCTTTTGATGGTGGGGTGATAAACATTAGTCACTGTGAAAGAAACCTTTAGTTGCTTAGAAGCTACCCTGGGTTCCTTTGTGCCATCCCAAACTTTTGTCTACTTTGCTTTTGTAGGAAACTTTGTTAGTTGACCTTTCCTGAGATAGAAAACAATGCTCTTAAATGTCCTCGATTTATACACAGTCTGACTCATTTAGCATTCCAAACCCTTTAACATGGTTTAATACCCCTTTCCAGTCTGATGAGCAAGAACAACCTTTTCCTCAAAAATCTAATTTGTTAATGGAGTGATTTACTTCCTCAAATGTGTTCTGAGAAGCAGACTTTGGTAGTTCCTGATAAAAACAAAACAAAGTACACACTCACATCCATTAATGGAAAGCACCTGTATCTAATTTCCCCTTCAATTATACAATTAATCCTAGATTTTTTTTCCCTTTTCATAGATATAAAATATTGGATCATTTTTCTTAACTAACTAAAGAACAAAGGCCAAATTTACTAAGTGTGACAAATTAGCTGCCACATTTACCAATGGGAGCGGAAAGCTCTTCGAGCAATCTGATTAATATACACTAATTCATAAACTACGACAGCCAAATGATTTCATTCTATCAAAAACAATGCAAATTAGCTAACCAACTAACCAAAATAATACTGTGTAAGCACAGGTTTTTATGCAAGTGTTTCTCTTGGTCAATAGCGAGACAATCCAGAACAATGAGATGTACTATAGCCGAAGGAGGCTTTATATGATTTAAAGGGTTACTCTTCTTCTGTCAGAAGGGAACTATGTGAAGGCATGTAGACTGAGACAGGCATTCTTTGGATAAAGCTTTCAACTAAGGTTACGCACAGAACCTATCCAGAAGGGGGTTATTATTACATTATTATTACATTAATACTATTATATTGTGTTATTTAATTATTGTGTTGTGTTACAATGATGTTATAATGACAAACATTATTTCCTGCCCATTCCCGACTCACATGGGTGTTAATGAAATTATTGTTTCTGTACCACGAGCATAAATGCATGCATCACTCTTGTTTATTGCATTATTTTCTTCTGTGAGAAGATTTTTTTAGAGACTGTATTACATTTTGTAACTTCCAGATATTAATCTAACACACTTCTGATCTAAGTTC